CCCTAAACCCTAAACCGTAGAGGGCTGGAGCGGGGCTGACAAGATGCTGTCTGGGGTTCTCAAGGATTGTAGTTTTTTGGGTTTGTATTTTGGGTTCTTTTTCACGCTTTTCTGAGGGGTTTGTGATATGCTTAGTGTTTAGTCTAGTCTTGTCTTGTTTTACAATGTTTCACACTTTTTTGGCAGCAGGTTGTAACAGCTATATAAGGCTTTCTAGGGTGCTCTGGAACAACCCTAAACCCTAAACCCTAAACCCAAAACCCAAAACCCTAAACCCTAAACCCTAAACCCTAAACCCTAAACCCTAAACCCTAAACCCTAGCAGCCTGGAGCCCGACTCCCCAGCACAGGAACCCTCCTCTGAGTGGCACAAGGACCTTCGGCCCTTGCACAAGTGCCTCGGCCCAGCTTAAGAGGGTGCCAAGAAGGTAAGGGCTTAGGGTTTAGGGTTTAGGGTTTAGGGTTTAGGGTTTAGGGTTCAGGGTTTAGGGTTTAGGGTTTAGGGGCTTCGATGTTTGCTTGGCGGTGGGTGTTTGACGTTGTTCCTTCTGGGGTTTCGGTTTTGGGCTTTCTACTTAGGATCACTTCTAGGCTTTTGGGGGCCGCTGTTTCTTGGCGGGATCCAGAGAGACTATAGGTACTCGATTCCTGCCTAGGTTCTAAGGCGTACGGGCGGTTTAGTCAAGCTCGAGCTCAGCGAAGCCGCCTCCCCCAAGACGCTGCAGGACCGGTAATTAGTGCATAGGGGCATGAAGAACTAGTGACAGTATTCAGGCACGGCCCTATATAGTAATAGTTTCATATTCCAAGACGTTGGCCTAAGCCTTAAGGCCTAAACCCTAAATCCTAAACNNCCCCCCCCCAAAAAAAAAAAAGAAAGTTTAATACTCCAAGACGAAAGCCTAAGCATTAAGGAACCTATAGTAGAAGCATCCAGAGAGAAGCGCTCCCCAGGACCCGATCCTTAACCCTAGATGCCTAAGCCCCAAACCCAAAACCCTAATGCCTAAACCCCAAATCCAAAACCCTAAACCCTAAGCCCCTAAACCCTAAACCTCAAACCCTAGAACCTAGGCCCTAGCCCTAGACCTCATCTCTGCCCCTATCGGTGTTTAGGGTGTTAGGGTTTCCCAGAGAGCCCAAGACAGCTTCATTGAGGAATATATAGCTTGAATTATAAGGGGCTTCATATTAAGATTTAAGCTATATTCCTTATTTAAGGGGTATTAGGCTCCCTAAACCCTAAACCCTAAACCACTTATTTAAGGGGTATTGGGCTCTCTGGGTTTACTCGAGCCGAAAGCTGATGGTCGAAGTCAAAACCGCCCAAAGCCCTGAGCCCTGTGATGCCTTAAGGGTTCCTCCCAGCCGAGTCGGGTTTCTTGTCTAAGATTTTGTTTAGGGTCTATGGTTTTAGGCTTTTGCGTTTAGGGTTTCGGGTTTAGGGTTTAGGGTTTAGTGTTTAGGGCATTGTGGTGTAGGGCTTGGAGGTGTTCATAAATTTGGAGTTTATATCATGGTGCCACAATAACGAGAGCTTTGCATTCTCCTCGCGCATATCTCGGTATCTTAACTCAAGCTCCTGAACTATAGCAATATACCTCCAGCAATATTCTTCTTGCCTCAGCCCGAGGCTGTGACCCTAAAACCCCAAGCCATGGACCAAGCTATGGAGGGCCTCTTATCATGGGGGTTTAGGGTTTAGGGTTTGGGGTAGTCCCTCGTGAAAGAATATGGCCTCTAGGAGTGGCTCAGTGTGTCTTTCAAGTTGGAGTTGCCCCAATAAAGGGGAGAGCATCTTGTTTAGCGTTCAGATCAGGGTCGAGTTATTCTGCATATCATGGTATCCTAAGTTACGTAAACCCTCAGCCTTAAGCCCCAAACCCAATAACCCCAGCAGCGGCGGAGGTGGGTAGTTCTCTATACTGGGGTTCCTTTTTAGGTCCCCGGCACCCTTATAAAAAGGATCCTAATTTAGAGAACTGCCCAGGTGCGTCTTCGTGGTGATCATGGAGCGCTTGCAGCTTCCGCCTGGAGCACTGGTGCTCGACTGGGGTGCAGGCCACCTCTCGTAGTCCCAGCAACATAGGAGCTTAAGTGAATACCAATGGGAGTCGTTCGGGTTCCTTAATATCACTCTTTTTTATCAGAACATCTAAGACCTATAAGGATTCCTGAGTCTTTACAATTTTTACTGTAACGCGGGCCAAGGCCCTCTTGAAACGCTTGAAGGCCCTTGCATTGGTCCCAATAGCTGTCTGCCCTCGGCTGCGGAGCGTCAGGCGCAAGCCGCCGGGTCTACGGTCTAAGAATCAGTTGGCTGTTCTTTTCGTAGGGTTTAGGGTTTAGGGCCCCCTAAACCCTAAACCCTAAACCCGAAACCCTAAACGCTAAAACCCTAAACTTTAAACCCTAGTTTAGGGTTTCGGCTTAGGGTTCAGGGTTCAGGGGTGAGGGTGTTCGGATTTCAGGAAGCTCGTCGCTTGTAACCTAATATGGAAGCTTAAATAATTACCAATGTTATTGTTAGGGTTCCTTAATATAAGTATACTATAAAAGAGCCAAAAACCCTATTCTAATTATTAATGCCCTACATTAAAGCCTAAACGCAGTGCTTCTGGCTTTGATTGAGGGCAAACGTTCCTGAGAACCCGAAACCCTAAACCCTAATATAGGGGCCTCTTAGTATTTAGAACAGGGTTTGGGGGTATAATACACCATAGCAATAATAAGGAACCCCAGAACCCTACTCCAAGTATGAAAGCCTCTAAACCCTAGAGGCTGTGGACATAAACTCACCTGGGCTGCCCAGCTCTACGACCTCCGGGGCGCTTCTTGGCCACTCTAAACCCTAAACCCTACACCCTAAACCCGAAACCCTAAACCCTAAACCCTAAACCCGAAACCCGAAACCCTAAACCCTAAACCCACTCTTAGAACATGCCGGCCTGAAGACTAGCGACCAGGGCCTGGGACCTTTTGTTGTTTCCGAGGTGTAGGGTTTCAGGGTTTAGGGTTTAGGGGTTCAGGGGTTCAGAGTTCAGGGTTTCGGGTTTAGGGTTTCAGGGTTTTAGGGTTTAGGGTTTCAGGGGTTTAGGGTTCAGGGCTTCGGGTTTAGGGGTTCAGGTTTGGGTTCAGAGCTTCGGGTTTGGGGTTTCAGGGGTTCAGGGTTTGGGGTTTAGGGGTTCAGGGTTTAGGGTTTCAGGGCTTCGGGTTTACGGGTTCAGGGTTTGGAGTTTCAGGGTTTCAGGGTTTCAGGGTTTAGGGTTTAGGGTTTAGGGGTTCAGGGTTTAGGGTTTTAGGTTTAGGGTTTCAGAGTTAGGGTTTAGGGTTTTAGGTTTAGGGTTTTAGGTTTAGGGTTTCAGGGTTTAGGGTTTTAGAAATCTTCAAACACAGCAGCTTCTGGCAACAGCGTGAAGA